CCTCCTCCTCCTCCTCCTCCTCCTTCATTATCATCATCATCATCGCCTTACTCCTTCTTCTTCATCATTATCATCATCAGTGCCGACTGGCGACTACTCGGAGGAGAGCCTTCTCTGTTGCGGCTCCGACGCTATGGAACAATCTCCCCGTGGAGATCCGCACCCTCACCACCGTCCAGGCCTTCCGCACAGCCCTCAAGATCTGGCTCGCCCGTCAGGCCTGGGGATAAGTCTGTACTTTAGCCCCTCCCGAATGTCGAGTGAATGTTGTGTTTTATTGTCTAATTTATTCTCGCTCACATTTCTTTTTGTATTGTCCTACACTCCCCTTCCCCTTTTATTGTAAGCCGCCCTGAGTCCCTTAGGGAAAAGGGCGGCCTATAAATGCATAATAAAATGCTAAAAAAAATAAATGCTACTCCTATAATGGTGTCCTCATCTTGTCTTGTAGTAAGACAGGCCAAAAGCATGCCTAGCTGTACAATATTATTTCCCTTATTCTGACACTTATGACAAAGGAATGTAAATTGTTAGGCTTTGTCACTCATTAACTTGGAGGGAAGCCAGACAATAGGCAGGTACTGGGAAGAGAAATAGAACAGAAACAATCAAGGATAAAGAAGAGCAGTAGGATAGCAAATTTCATATCCACAGAGATTTTTTCTCCTGGTTCTCCTATTAAGCAGTGGGGAAGGACCCTCTGTAAGCAACTGTCATTTTTTAATGGAGTGTGCCCAAACTGCAGTTTCCTTGATGTCCAGGAAATTTATTTGAAATCTCATGCAATGCAAGTATTTGTTTGGTTGATTGTTTCAAGTATTTATAATGTTACTCAACCACTTGATTCTGAGAAGTGTGCAGCAGGAATAAAATTTTAGCAGAAAACAACCCCAAATTGTTAAAAAAAAAACCAATACCGTATATAAAAGAGCAAACCAAATGAAACAATTAAAATAACCACAAGAGGACTTCAGGTCAGGACTTCATTGCTTTTCTAAAAGCAAACCAGTAGTATATTGGACAGAGATTACTCCAAACAATAGGAGCAGCCACTGAAAAGGGACACTTCCTAAATCCAATAAGATGACAGTGTTTAACAGAGGGACAGATAGATATACCTAACAACAGGCAGTTCTGCAATTTCAATATTCACTGGTCTCTTTTCCATCTTTTCCCTTATTTTGCTAAAAACAGAGATTGCTCTGTTTTTCTTCAACACCTTGATGGTTTCAGTGCTTTCCTCACATCCCTATCTTGTCTTAGAAAAAGAAGTTGTGATAGAAGACTGACTTTATTGCAGACATGATGATAGTTGGGGCAAACCTGCAGAACTGACTGTTTGACATCAAATATCATGGTTAAAGAACTGGCAACCCTCTCCCGGACAGTTGAAGAATGTAATGCAGACAATACAGTATATTTTAAAATACAAAGAGTTTTCTTTTCACCCAGATAAGCAGATACTGCAAGAACTAGCAACAGCTATTATTTACGTGCACTCAAGTGTGCATGTATACAAAAGGAGATACACGAGATGAAATGGGCTGGAATATAAGACATGTGCACATAGGCACAGATGTCCATATCTACCAGGAAAGGTGCTTGGTTAAATGATCAACTTATTTCCTATAGAATGTAAAGACAAATGCTTGCCTTATTATAGTTAAGAAATAGCACTTTCAATAGTATTCGACTTTCTCTCCCCATATGATTAAACAAGGAAAATACTACAAAAGTTATCTGAACCCTAAGAAAAACCATGAGAAATCCTAATACATGATTATTCTTAAACACGTCGACTCAGAACAATTAATATTGATTACCATACTTTAACTATACTTGACTTTAAATTGGTTAAACACTAGTAAGAGGATAACTATCTTCTCTATGAGTACAAATGAATGGAGTTAATATTGAAATCTAGGTTTTTAAAGGAAGAGCCACTACTTTAAATTCATTATAGTGGCAGAAAATATGAACTTAAGTTTAAGTTGAGAAATGCAAACTAATTATTCCCCTCCTTAGAGACAGATAATTTAAGAAATTAAACCAGAGTGGAGGGTATTTACAGTAGCTAGCTACAAAGGATATTTCATTAGAATGAAGAGAAGGATTTTGTATTTCCTTTAGATCAGGGTTTCCCCGGGGACTGAAGGGATTATTTAAAGGGTGGTTGTTGCTACTATTTGCGCTATTGTTAGTTAAAGTAGTATTTATTTATTTTTATATAATAAATGTTTGGGAGATGATGGACAATATGAAATTTCACGAAGGGATTAATCAGCTGAAGCAACTGGGGACCCCTTACTCTAGATGTAAGGTTGTTTATAAAACACCTTGAATACCAAAGCTGAGAAGAATATATTTATTTCAATGTATTAATTTCCCATGCAAAAGAATAAAACTAACACTTTACTACATGCCAGTTTTAAAACATGGGATCAAATAGGTGATCAGTTTCTATTGGTGGAAGCAACAACCCCCCTCCCATAAAGTTTAAACGAAGTAACTTCAATAGAAAGACCTAAACTACAACCTGAGCATTAAGTACCAATTCTTGCCCTTTTGGAAAGTGATTGACATCACACAACAGCTCACCTTTGCTCAATCCTCTGGGAAATCTAATCTGAGCATCATATCCACCTTACTCAACTTGTAAATGTACCTCTACCTTGTTCAGCATTCCTCTTAGCCTGTACTTACACTCTATTGCGGTTTGTTGCTATTGCCATTCAATACTGGGGCAACTTGGGGATTAGCTTACCAGCTATTTCCTGGTAATACTTGAAAGAAACAAATGGTATGGATAACGTCAATAATAATAATAACATACTTACTTCCCACACTGGTATCACCCTACCTTGATGGTTAGTGATTGATGCTGGATTCATAATGCCTTTTAGGCTAAGTGGAAAACAACCTTGGTTGCTACAGAAAGGGTGGTACAGATTCCACAACAAAGAAACTTCAGCTTAGTGTTGCTGACAAAATACAGCATCGGTAATGGCATCAGTTTGTAGGCGTAGACATGTAAAGCTACTGGGGTTAATTTAAGGCTACCTTTTCCTGTCATTCGCTGACACATTTTCTTAATTCTAATGTTTCTCTAATACAAGACAAACATTAAAAAAGACACAGTAATAGACTTACCTTGCCAGAGGATTTCTGAGACCTAGAACCATTCATAGGTCACAACATTTTCACCACTCCCTTGGGAGAGTGCTAATCACCCTTCCCCTTGAAGGGACATCCAATTGAAACTCCAATTAATCATTAGATCTCCACTACAATCAGAATTAGCCCCACAGTTGCTTCACACTTTCTTCATCTCATTAATGCCACATAATCATAACTTATGGAACCAGTTCCTGCCTAATTATATCCATCTTGTTCTCTCTGTGTGAAGTTATTGTCTGCAAATTGGGAACATGCATTTTATTGGTGATTCTCTCTTCCTTTAGAGAAATGACAAATGTACACCACGGCTTTTGTTAGGAAGGTGCAGGCTTCTTCCCAGCAGCCTGTGCAGAAATCACATTTTTTTTCAACAATTCAGTTTGCAATTTGGTGCTCCCTTCCCTAGCAACTGCCTCCACTGCCAGTAAAGACAGCTGCAATCAGACAACTGCTATAAGAACCTACAGAACTGTATGGGAGATACCATTGATGATAAGGGCTGTTATATGTTCTTCATATCTTTATGCTTTCTAATACCTTTTTTTTACATTAAAGATTTAACTTGCAATAGGGATTGAAAAAAGCAAAGCAACATTTTTTTTTCTCCAGGAAGGCAATTTAATTAGACTAGGGCAGAAAGTCAGGATGGTGGAAGCTTTTCATCATATTCCCCCTCCTTTGCCATCGTGATTTACTTTGTTTTGCTTTTTAATTATCAGCTGCATTTCTATCTCAATATTTAAGTATCAAACCAGTTAGAAACAATATTCAAACACCATATTTGAGCCTTTGTTGCTGACACAGGATCAAATTTGGGGAAACAATTAGGCTAAATGGAATTTTGCCATTAGTGTCACTTCTGAACAATCTATGCATTCTATAGTGGCCTCTGCCCAGAATTTCTTTCATATGTAGCTGCTTCATCTTTCAGTGGAGTTTTCACTAGTATCATTGCAGTGAAGGAACATGGCAGTTCAAAGCTAACGCATGGAAAGATGTCATATGAAGACTAGCAATAGCACTTAGACTTATAAACTGCTCCATAATGCTTTATGGCCTTCTCTAAGTGGTTTATAGAGTCAGCCCCCAACAATCTGGGTCTTCATTTTACTGACCTTGGAAGGATGGAAGGCTGAATCAACCTTGAGCAGGTCAGGATCAAACTTCTGGCAGTCATCAGAATTAGTCTGCAATACTGCATTCTAACTACTGCGCCACCATGGCTGCTCTAACTGCTGCACCGCCACGGCTTTTACCATGGTGCTTGGGACAGCATCACATATTTTGGAAAGCATTTTTTGAGATAACGCACAGGCTCCTTCTCTCTCTCACTCAGTATAAGCAGAAGCTGCTGATGTCACGTTTCAGATGATACAGGTGGCCAGAAGCAAGTACAGATAGTTCTTGACTTATGACCACAATAGAGCCCAAATTTTATGTTGTTAAGCGAGACAGTTGCTCAGTGAATTTTGCACCAATTTGCAACCTTTTTTTAAACCACAGTTGTTAAGTGAATTATTGCAGTTGTTAAGTGAACCTGGTTTCCCCATGGACTTTGCTTGTCAGAAGATCAAAAAAGCTGATCACCCCAGGACATTGCAATTGTCATGAATATATGCCACTTGCTAAGTGTCCAAATTTTGATCACATGGCCATGGGGGGGGGGCTGCAATGGTTGTAAGTGCAAGAAAATGGTCATAAGTAACTTTTTCTAGTGCCGTTGTAACTTAAAACGGTCACTATCCAAAGGGTTGTAAGTTGAGGACTATCTGCAATTCTTGCAGTAGCAGAGAATATATGTAGGTCAGGATTGAATTTTTGCACTTGTTTTTCTTCTTCTTCAAGATCTTTCATTGCCATGCTGGTAATATCTGCTTTTTGACCAGTTGCTGAAAAGGCAAGATTTTTATGTGCAGGATAAATTATTTGGCAAATAAGACAAAAGAAAAGGAAACAAAACACCTGCTGATGTTGAATTCCAGAGCAGCACATGAGGCTAGAAAGAAAATGCATTTAGGCAGCCACCTAATTTCAGGAGAAGATCTGCCAACTAAGGAGCAAATTCTAAGGGTTGAGGCCAAGCTTCTCTTGCAACTGCTGGATTGAGATCAAACCTTGGCATCAGCTGATAGGATATTCCAATCTAGATTCTGTTTTTCCCAAACTACAAAAATCACTTTTGACAATTCTACCCTCCCCCTTGTCTGATAAAATGCAGATAAAATGCAGATAAAATGCAGATAAAATGCAGATAAAATGCAGAGGCAATGTACAGGTGGCCCTTGACTTACAACAGTCAAGGACTGTTTAGTGACAGTTCAGAGTTACAATGGCATCAAAAAATATGAATTATGACTGTTTTTCTCAGTTACAACCTTTGCAGCATCCCCATGATCATGTGATCAAAATTCAGACACTTGTCAATTGCTCACTGTTGCAGTGTCCCAAGTCATGTGACCCTGTTGTGAGACCTTCTGACAAGCAAATGGGGGAAGCCAGATTCACATAACAACTGGCTTTCTAACTTATCAACTGCGGTGGTTCACTTAACAACTGTGGCAAGAAAGGTTGTAAAATGGGGCAAAGCTCACTTAACAAATGTCTCACTTCACGATGGAAATTTTGGGCTCAAGGGCGGCCGTAAGTCAAGGGCTACCAGCCTACTGAATTGCAACAAAGCTATAATGCAACCTGTGGTTTTACACGAGTACTGCAACTTTCCCCAAAGGGGATTCTGCTGACCATTGTCTCTCCTGAGGGGTTCACACATTGCTGTTAGATAGTTGACTCACCTGCACATGCTGCACACAAAGCACTTGGGATGGTAAGTCCGGCCCAAGGCTGAGATAACCTCTCCGGTGATGAAATCCTGACAGCTGTCACAGCGGGTGCCGTAGAGCTGCTGATAGTCGTGGGTGCAGATGTATTCCCCATTTTTAAAGAAGAAGCCAGACTGAGCTAGATCACAGCCACACACTACAGAAGGGAAAGTACATGCAGAGATAGAAAAGTCAGTCCTTTCATCTCTCCAAATAGGCACTTTTCTCTTAAAACAAACAAACAAACAGATGCTTCTTGAGGTGCCATCATAAGGATGGGGGTCTCTGAGTCATACCGAAAGCCTTGCTTGTCAATCAAAGGGGAGACATCTGTAGAGATTCTCAGTCATCCAGGTCATGGTTGTCCCAAAGGTGCTTTTTCAGGAGGCAATGGAACTTTCTTGGTTTTTTCTTTTTCTTTTGAAGACGTCTCGCTTCTCATCCAAGAAGCTTCTTCAGCTCTGACAGGATAGTGCGGAATGGAAGGATTTATATTCCTTGCAGTCAGCTGGTCATCTGCATCTTTTTAGAGGGACTTTTAGCTGTACAATTTGGGATGGACATTCTTTGAATGGTGTGGGAGTAGGAAAGGATTTCCAGAGGAGAGAAAAATTGCAGACTGCAGGAACAAGGAGCACTACTCAGGTGACCCTCAGGACACAGATAAACTCCAAGTGCTTCAAGAACCCTCTAAAAGGATGCAAATGACCAGCTGTCTGCAAGGGATATAAATCCTTCCATTTCCCACTATCCTGTTAGAGCCAAAGAAGCTTCTTGGATGATACGTGAAATGTCTTCAAAAGAAAAAACAAGAAAGTTCAGTTGTCTCCTGAAAAAAGCATCTTTGGGACATCTAGGAGCTAAACTCTGCCCACCCTGCATAGCCATGGTGAATGGCTCCACATTTTGCACAGTGTTTTTATTGGCAACAGCCCCATTGCTTTTTCCTAAATATAAAAGTTGTGTTTCTTCCATAAAACGTAACAACAGAAGGGAGGTCTTTCAATCTAACCCCCTGCTCAAGCAGGAGACCCTGTACCATTTCAGAGGAACAGTTGTCCAATCTCTTCTTTAAAATCTTCAGCATTGTAGCACCCAAAACATCACTTCTGAAGAAGACCAAATACAGGAGGACCAGCCATGCTTAGGAATTCCCATCAGCCAGTCTGTCAAAGCTGACTTCATTCTTATATCTATGACCGCTGGCTTCTAGGTCATTTCTAATCTCAACTCAATGTACGTGGTCATTCATTTTGCAAATTGAAATGGCTTAAATGTGTCCGCGGAATCAGCTCCTTTCAATTCAGCCTATTGCGGCTCTCTAGCATCTAAATATTAGATAAAGCAGCCTGAAGCGGGATTATCTGAAGCAGCCACCTGTTTTTTATCCCATCGCTGACACCTGAGGCTTGACTGGTGCTGGTATGTGAGAGGGTCTTTCCGTGGCGCGGCTTTGGCAGGCCCTGCCTCAGGAAATCCTTTGGCTTCTCCCTGATGACAATCTCCCTGATCAAGCTTGAAAGCTTTTCTGCTTCAGCATGCCTTCAGCCAGTTTCTGCCTCCTGGTCTGTCAGTTCCATCTTTGCTATCCAAATTACATTTTCTGCTCTCTGTTTTGGTTTATTGACTTTTTCATGTACATATTTGCTGCGGTTGTCAAGGGCCACAGTGTGTGTGTGTGTGTGTGTGTGTGTACCCACGTGTGTGTGATCACATTATGCAATGCTTTCCTAAAGTGAGGGTGTGTCTAGTGAGTGCTTATGTGTAGGAGACTGTGGAAAACAATCTTTAGAAAACAAGTTGGGCAGGAAGCAACCCAGAATAATTACGTTGGTAGAAGGCTGCTTTGATAGCCTCACTGCCCACTCTGGATGACTGACAGTGGGCAGTATGATCTGAGTACACTGATGAACTCCCTATGTGAAAGGTCCATCTGGTGTGTTAAAAGTGCATCAGTGTTCCCTGATGTACAAATCACTAGTAGATACAAGTGCCTGAACCAGTTTTCAGTTTCTTTGCAATGACAGTCTCCAAGTCACCTGAGTGAAATAATTTCTTGAAAAGTGAGGCTAAACTTTCTTCCTTCGTTCTGCCCCCCTGCCTAACCCTTTACCAAGCAGTATCTTCTCATCCCCCATCCCTGCCCCCTATAGACTCTAGGAGGGCAAGATACTTCTTGTGGTCCTCTGAAATACCATCAGTGTGTTGTTAGCACCATGCAGTGAAAATAAGGCAAGGTTTACGGTGCGGGAGATGTTATGAAGGGAAATTTCTGCTGAGAGAAAGCCTGGCCTGAGGAATCGTTTGTGAGCCTTGGTGCATGACGGCAGCAAGATGTGCCCTTTTTGATTGACTACAAGCAGACAGGTTGAGAGGCTGAGTAGGCTAGCAGAGGAGCCACTAGTATATTAGGTCTTTAATGGCAACTAGTGAGAAATACATCTAGTAGGGTTCTTGTCTTTTGAGAGACCTTGGCCTATAATTCCCCAGTGAGGCAATGGAGAGAAACAAACTGGCAATGCAGTGAAGAAATGGCTCAATTACTACACTCACATGCCATGACCCACTGAAAGACAGATAGTCTGAGCAGTAGTTTTTGAAGTACTTTGCCATTTTTCAGTCACACAGGCAAGCTTGCCTCAATTTGCCGCTGTCATTCAGTATTCTCCAATATATCCAGTTCCCAGTGAGCATACATGGGGAAATTTTACTCCCATTTGATTTGGAAAACCCAAACTGGGATAAGTTCCTGAAAAATTTTGGAGTGGGAAGACTACATTTATTTTTCAAGTATGGCTTCCTGGGAAGGTTAAAAAGATGAATGGGACCAAGATAAAGGAATAACAGGAACATGACCAATGCTGAATTTAATTAAAAAAAACAAAGTTCATTCATTTTCATCCCACATGTACATGCTGCTTCTTACCTTGCCTTTAGTTCGTTACATTTTTCACCTCTGTCCTTTCGATGATCTGATCAGCTTCATCCAACTACAACTTTCCCAATCTTCTCATTCCTTTCAATCCATTCAGTCATCTTTAATATACGTAATGCGCAATCTGATCCTCACTGACCAAAACATCTCCATATACTTTGTTGGTACACAATCCTGTACTAATTCTTCAGCCTTCTCTTGTATTTTGCCACACAACTGCCATTGCATTCTATTTGTTTTTATGTTTCTCCTGATATACGCAATACTAACTTCCATACAACAAATTCGATAGAAGTGCATTCCTACATGCAGGTACTTTCATTTTTCACATTCATCTCACGTTATCAGACATGTTCTGTAAGTCAATATTTGTACATTCCCACATTCATGCACTTCTCCTTCTGCTAAAGAACAAAAAACTTTGCTATTTCCCTTTTGAGCGCTTTTGATTAGAATTCTGATAAACAATTTCCAGGTGTGCTAAACAAACTAATTTCCCTGTAATTCATTTTTGTTGCTGCTTCCTTTGTGTCAGAGAACAATAATGACATCCCTTCTATTGTCAGGCATAAATACACACACATACGCATGTTGTGAGCAGCCGTTCCATAATGAGACCACATTCCTACATAGTCCTTAGCTTATGTCCATTCATTCAGTGACCATTACAATTACGGCTGAAAAAAAAATGGATGTATGACCGAATCTATAAGCTCTGGCTTTTAGCAACTCCATGGACATGTGATTGCAATCCAAATACTCAGATTCTTGGCTTGCAATTATAAGGTTGCAGACAGTGCTGGCTTATCACAGGCAAAGGGAAGCCAGCAGTCAAGGTGCAAGTCACTCCAATAAATCACTCTTGCTTTTTCTTCTGCCTGTAGCACCATCATCACCTCACCCACACAGGGCCTGCACTGACCCTCTTAAATCCTATCCTGGCCTCTCCTGACTTGCAAGCGGCCTGCAACTGTCTTCCCAGCCTTTTAATTGTATCTAGCATGCACTGGCCTTACCCAACCCTTGCAGCCCTCTCAGGCTCCTCACCTGGCTGGGACTCAAATCATGACCTGTGCATCTTGGGGTTTTACAACAGCAACTAAGACTGCTGAGACTGCCATTGCGAAATGATATGGTCACGTGACATGGTGCTCTATGGCTGCGTTGCGTTGCTTAGCAATGGCAATCCAGGTCCCAACTGCCATTATATTACAACTTGAGGTCTATTAGTATCCTAGATTTCCCCAATTATCTCAGCTACGGCTGCAGCACCATCATTTTTCAATATTTTCTCCGCATTTATGTTTTTCTTTTCATTGTCCCCCCCCCCCCCTCAGGCCTTAACATTTAATAGCATTTGTTTCAGTCTCATTTTTTTAAAAAATATGCAACTACCTCAGGGGTGGGCTTCAGAAATTTCAACAACGGGTTTTCTGCCCAGTTGCTGGTGGGCGTGGCCATGGTGGGTGTGGCCTAATTGGCTGCCTGCACCATGGTGGGATGGGGCATTTTTGCCTTCCCTGGGCTCCAGAGGCTTTCCTTGAGTCTCTGGGAGGGCAAACCTCCTCCACCAGGCTCCAGAGGCTTTCTGGGAGGCCTGTTTTCCCCCTTCCTGAGCCTCTGCATGGGCCCTGCACTTACCTTGCATCCAAAACGTGGAGACTCCTGGGAGGGGAGGGTTGGGATGGGCGGGGCCAGCCAGGGGTAGGATTTGGAGGTTCTCTGAACCGGCCATAATGTTAGCTATGGGTTCTCTCGAACCCGGATGAACCCATAGCAATCCATCCACCCCTGAACTACCTTTCTCATATGTATCTCTAAAATACTTCTGGTATTCTTTCATTTTCATCCCAAATCATTTACAACGTTTTTATTTTTGATGCCACTTATCCTGCTTGATGATCTCTGTTTTTACCTTCATCAATTAATTCCAAAATATTATTTAAATTCCAACAAAGAGTCAAATTGATTTAGTGGCTAAGACATGAGGCTGGAAAGCAGGAGACTGTGAGTTCTAGTCTTGCCTTAGGCATGAAAGCCAGCTGGGTGACGTTCAGCTAGTCATTCTCTCATCCCAACCCACCTTACAGGGTTGTTGTTGGGAAAATAGGAGGAGGAAGGTGTATTGGATATGTTCACTGTCTGGAGTTATTTGTCCTCTTTGATTGCAACTACATTTTCTCTTCATACCTATTATTCCAGACATATCTGACTTTCACTTTTTGCAGCAGTCTTCATTCATTCAATCTTTTTTTTCTGTTGCCTCTATCACTTCATCATTCCACCAAGCATCCTCTTTATTTCCCATTAAGGAATAAGGATTTCTTTTGGCTTTGGAAGCAAATAAAGAAAGCTGCCAAGTTCTCTCCTGGTGGTTCTAAGTTTCTTTTGAAGCTGGAGACAGGCTGAAGTCTTTGTCTAAAAGAATAATCAAGACCAAACTCCATAATCAGCACCAAACTCCAGGGGGCTGGAGACACACACTTTTCCTGTGGTGTTCTGAAAGCCGGCATAGCCAATAGAGTCTAGGAAGATGAGAACATCCAGATTTGCTTGATCCCCCCCCCCCCCTATATAAATTATCCCTGTACTGCTAAGCTAAGTTGTTTCGTATAGACTTCCCTGGTTTGCAACCCAATGAATCAATCCAGATATTGTCCTTGGCCTACAGTATGGACTAGGAACTCATACAGCTGCAATATGACATGCTGATTCTTTTTTTTAAATCTATTGTTCTATCTTTCTCCCTGCAGGCTGATAAATAGTATGATAACACTGCCCCACAAGTAGGCTAGAGTGGAGTTTAAATCTTTATGGAGGGGGCCTTTCATGTTGAAGGAAATGTTTACTAGTTAGATTCTCTGGGCTCAGACATTTTACTTAAAAATGACTGCAGAAATAGTTTGCCTCAATGAAAGTCCCACTCACAACCACAGAAGACTGATTTTGGGAGATGGGTGTGTCTGTATATTTGAATAAGTAATATGCCCCCATCATGCCACAACAGTGATAATAATTCTACGTACCTGCAATAAGGAATACTTCTTTTATTAAATACGCTCTGCATCCTTTTAACCCTCATAATTATGATTAAGATCAATGGTAAGCTATTGTGAATGTGTATGCAACATTAAAAAAAATCATACCTGGGTTTCTCTAGCAGCTTTAAACTGCTGTTGATCTTTCTATGGTTTGTTTATTGAATATTTGTGGAAGATTCTCTGAATAGATTACATTTACTTTCCAAGCTGGGTACACCAGCTCAGGGGAAAAAATGCTAGTAATGCACTTTTTAAGTATTGCAGAAGGCTGTTTCTTAAAAAGGGATTAAAATGGTTTGATATATGAACAAATGATCTTTGGAGCTACTTTTTTCATGCGTTTGGCATGTAAAAGTTCTGGTGCATTGAATTTGTTCACACTTGGTTAATTTTTTGATCTATGCAAGATTGTTCGTTGCATTAGTTTTGTAATTCTAATCTAAAATCTTGTTTACATCAGCGTGCATCCTTTCTCATCACAATTAAACAACTTGCACCTCCTCTTTGGTGGTTTGGAAAGATAATATACGATTAGATCTCAGTTTCAGTGGCTGTTCCGGATCACTGAGGACAACGTGGGCAATACAAAAATACCCAGTGTTACAAATAATCAATTGCATGATCTTGTTTTTTAAGATCCATTGGGGCAGGTAGGTGGGGATAATCTAATGACTTTCTATTACATAGAAGCCCCAGATTAAGGTTCTTAAGATCCCAGGAGGAAGAGGTGGTGACAAAGGTCAAAGACATATGCTCATGTACATAGTAGGTCAAACAATCTTAGTTTGGCAGACTGGCTATGAACCTTCTTCTCATTTGTCAGCAAACAGCAGGAGGAAGAGTTATGACATGATGGAAAAGCAGGTGTCTTTCTATTTATAGGACAAGACATCCTGGGATTTCTGAATGGAGACTTTGGCCAGTCAGTTGAAGTGAGTTCTATTATGGCCTACAATAACTAGTTAACCACCTTCAGCTGAATTTCCTTGGGTAGTTCTGCCTTGAGATAGAGGTGGACACAAAATGTGTATGAGCTACAACTTCCTGATTGTCCTAAAGATTTAAATATGAGAAAACCTCATGAAATCTCACAGAAAGACTATTTTTGCCCTTGATTTTAATTTAATTGCAAAAAAATCTAGCCAAGTTTGGGCAGAATTCCTTGGGCAATCTGAAAATGAATTGGATATATTATACCATTACATAAAAAACCCCATGCAAAAACAATTCCTGTGAAACATTTTTAGAATGTGCTGTGCCACTTGTATATGAAAATGGCACTTCAAATCATATATATATTTGGTTAATATCCCTTTTTAAACAACATTTGGCTGGTATTTTAAATAGCTATTTCTTGTGTTTAATGTAATAGTATAATAAGTTGAATTCATTTTCAAACTATCCCTGTGGAAGGAGTTTCATTCCAAAATGCATTTCACATTTTTTTACATTGCTTAAAATAATGAATAAAAAAGAACAGAAAATCCTTTGTTTTCCTATGAGGCTTTTCCTTTTCTGTATATTTACTTAATAACTAAGAACACCTTGTTCCTTTTTCAGAGTAAATACCAAAACAGCCTGCAGGACCAAATAGACATTACTTTGCTTATTTAAGTGAATTGTTACTGTACGTGCCCATTTTATATTTTAAGAACCGATACGCTTGATTTTTATCTAGCTTTTCATGTACTACGGATAGTGCATGTCCTCATTTTCCTGCTGTGAAGCTTTGACTGACAGGAGTCATATGTGATACTGCATACAAAAGTCTTGGCTATCTTTGGAATTCTTTCCCATTGACCTGTTTTCCGTTATTTAGGATAGTTTTCAACTGCCACATGTGATCCTGAACCTATTTGGAGACTAAATTGCCTTCTGCTGAAAACTGAACGTTGTGAATTACTATGTTCCTGCCCTACTGATGGAAGGGTGAGTGGGAGGAGTAAAGCAAAGAAGATGAAAAATTAAACTGAGAACAGATGTGAGTGGGCTCCTTATTGCATTTATTTGAAACAGCTGCACTAAGGGGTAGTAACCAGATCTATAAACTGTACAACATGAATTACCAGAGATTCATCCCTCTCCCAATTCATCACTTCTGTTACTTTAACAAAATAGTGAATTTTTCACACATTAGCTAGCCCTTGTTCTGTCTATCATCAATCAACACAATGGCCTGCACCAACACACAAATACACATTTATTTGAAATGATCTGTTTGTCTGTTGGAGAATAAGCAGTGGGGAACCTGAGGTCCTGCAGATGTTTGGGAACTGCAGTTTCTAGTATCCCTCCCAATTAGGATGTGGTCTGGAGATGCTAGAAGTTGCATTTATGTTTAGAGCCACAAGTCCTCTGTGTATGTGAGAAAGAGACAGAGAAAATGTAGAACTGACCTTGGACATAAGGAAAAGATTGAACAAGCTGTTAATAGGGGACTTGAAGAAAAGATTAAATAGATAAAGAGGAAAGTGTATAGAAAGAAGCCCAAAGAAATCCCACCTTGATTTGTTTATTATAGGGTGGAACAAAGTTGGATAGATCTTTTCAAGATTGATATCAGAAATTACAGGACATCTCTTGTTTATTTTAGCTTACAATGAGAGAGGGGGGAGGGAGGGGGGAAGGAGAGAGAGAGGGAAAGAAAGAAAGAAAGAAAGAAAGAAAGAAAGGATTAGTAGTACAGTTTTTATCAGATTAACAGGAATGACTTCCTCCAAAATATCTTTGAAATTATGCATTGGTGAAGGTCCTTAGACTTCTACTAAAATCTCTAGGTAAGTTCATGAAAATACCATTGTTGGTATGGTATGTTAGGAATGAGCAATAGACCACGCTTAAATGCACACCTCCAGTTTTAAGCAAAAACTTTTTCACTTTTCCAAATCCCAATTATACCCAGGTTCCTCCTTTTCAAATTTGCATATTTTATCAATTCCACCCACTGACCGATATTGTAGCCAAAGGAACTTGTTTATCAGCATTCTGCAACTGCTCAGCTACATTAAATTTAGTTTGCACTAAGCTGTACTTCTTTCTAATCATAATACCAAGTTTTCAGGACTAAGACAGACATTTGGGTTAAAATGTTTTAACTGCATATTTTTTTAATTGCAAGTCACTCGGAGTAATTGATTAAGATGAGTGGCTGTAGGAGCTAAATAAATAAATAGATAGATAGATAGATAGATAGATGATAGATAGATAGATAGATAGATAGATAGATAGATAGATAGATAGATAGATAGATGAATGCACCATAACCTCTGTCCATTTCACTAAATGGACCTAATGGCATCTTATACTTTAAATAGTTTTACAATCCTGTCTCAGCTTGGAGCAACATTGAGCACTTACCCTGGCATGTGAAACATCTGATGTGGAAGTGATTGTTCTGGACACGCACAACCTCGCCTTTACAAGTATCTCCACAGCGATAGCATTGAATTATGGTGGGACGACCACCGGAGTTGTATGGGTTTTGTTGAAAAGGAACTGCTGGTGAAAGTAAAACATACAGCTTATTAGTGTGGCAGAAGAAGGGGTATAGCTAAAGCCAGCTAACAATTTATTTTGTTGACTGTTTTGCTATTTGCTCTTTACCCATACACACAAATACATACAAATATAATTATACTCTTAATCATGTCTTCCTTCAGATGTTGCCTGTAGTGAAACTGATTTCCCGTCCATCAAAAGCCCTTTCCCCTAGTGACTTACAGCTTATCATAGCATCACCTAGTCATTACTGAAATGATAGAAAGCCTGCCCTCATTGCAATTATTTTGGCACAATGATAGTTGGAGGACTCTAGCAGATTGCTACAAGTGACTAATGAGGACATTATCTAGGAAAAGGAGGAGCTAGCCAATCCTTTGTTTCAAGGAACAGCTCAACAAAAACAGAGATGGAAGTTAGTTGAGGAAGGAAGAAGTAAGCACTGAAAACAGTTTATGTATTTTGGCTATGGTAAATAAACTCTTTTTTTAGCTCAAAGCCTCTCAAGCCATTTGACAAAGAACAAACATTCCCCACCCCTCCTTCATAAACTGAGGCTGGGAAGAACACTTGATGAGAGGAACATCATTTGACATGTATTGCTGTTCCTTGGAAAAATAAAAGCAGTGGGTCAAGAATTTATTTTGTGTGAGGATTGTCTGCTTGAGGAGGCCTTGAATTCTCCTGGGATTCACACAGCAGATGTTAGGGACTGATTTGTTAAGGTTAGTTCAACCTTTTCTTCAGAAAAATGTCTCTCTGGGTATGTTTGTCACACAGAGAGAAGGGAAAAGTAAGCTGTTGGTTTTAGAAAGTCTCAAGAGAATTGGCTGAGGGATAAGCTTTTATGTTTCTTTTCTCCTGAAGTTTGCTCAGTAATCTCTGCTGCAGATTTACGGGAAGCCTCTCAAAATGACCAAACGTTCTTCCCAAACTATGCTCTTGTGAGTACAGTACCAGTGATAATGCCATCCTATTAGAGAAAATGAGAAAAACTCTTGTTATCAAGAGGAATTGTTTGAGGACATCTGAGGACAAGGCAGCCTGTTGAAAGCCTCAGAAACTCTCTTTCTCTGTCACACGGGATGTACAATACTCTCAGTCTGGCAATCCTAGAGATTCCAGTCAATGGTTTTTGTGCAGCTACTTCATCTTTTTCTCCTTACAAGTTAATTTTTAATGTGTGGTAAAGGGGAAAAGGGAGGGAAAATGATGGGAAATATTGGAAGCTTATAAGTGGGAGATGATAACTGAATCTCATAAGTGAGTCAGGAAATGAGATAAGCTCACATATTCCTTGGTGAGATCTATACGCCTCAACTAGAGAGCGGAAGTGCTTAGTCTTCAAAAGCCTATTAAGAAAAGAAAAAAAAGACACAATTCACCATTAAGTGATGGAGGGGGATGGCTTTTGTGCCTGTGCATCTCCAATCATGTCACGGACATTATCCAATAGATGCCCAGAACTGTTTAGCACACAAAGTACTGGCAACTGCGACAAAAAATGCTTCCTTGGGAAATTAAGTGTGTATTTTCAGTGACAAAATACTGCAGTGTGATTGCTGAATAATGCACAATACATATACCAAAAGCATTTCCTTGGGAAAACATGCTTGGCTCTTCTAAGGCAGATTCTGTACATTGCCTGGAAATCACTGTAGTTTAAATTTTCCTGGCTTATCTTTCTGTCCTCTGATGCCTCAATATATTCTTCCTAACCCCTCTATTTTTCCAAGATCCTCAAACTGTAGTAACCCATGGTCTCCTGCACCTTTAAATGAATACAGAATAATAGAATTGAGAGAGACCTTAGAGGTCTTCTAGCCCAGTGTTTTTCAACCACTGTGCCGTGGCACACTAGTGTGCCGTGACATAGTATAAGGTGTGCCGTGGGAAAAACACCTTATATATAGTCAATATAGGCAAAGAGTTAATTTCTTTTAACATTTTCTAATGGTGGTGTGCCTCGTGATTTTTTTCATGAAAAAAGTGTGCCTTTGCACAAAAAAGGTTGAAAAACACTGTTCTAGCCCACCACCACCACCACTCAAGCAGGACACCTGCTATATCATTTCAGACAAATGGTTGTCCAATCTATTCTTAAAAACTTCCAGTGTTGGAACATTCACAACTTCTGGAGGCAAGTTGTTCCACTTATTAATTGTGCTGTCAGGAAATTTCTCCTTCGCTGTAGGCTAGTTTAGTTTCCATTCATTGCATCTTGTCCTGCCTTCAGGTGATTGGAGAATAGCTGGACTCCCTTTTCTTTGTGGCAGCCCCTCAAATATTGGAACACTGCTATCATGTCACCCACTGGACTAGATATACCCATTGTGACCGTTCTTTGTATGTTTTTGCCTCCAGTCTCCTAATCAGAGGTGGGTTGCTGCCAGTTCAGCCCAGATTGGCCGAACCAGTAGTAGTGGAGGGGGGAGGCTCCGTCCACCTGTATGGATGCTTCTGCGCATGCGCAGAAGCATTGCACACATGCACGGGAGCACGCCTGAATCAGTAGTAAAAAATTAGCAACCCACCCTGCTTCTAATCATCTTTGTTGCTCTTCTCTGCACTCTTTCTATAATCTCAAAATCTTTTTTATATTGTTGTGACCAAAATGGGATACAGAATTCCAAGTGTAGTCTTATCAAAGCATTATAACATGGTATTAATACTTCTTGCTCTCAAATCTCTCTTGCTTTCTTTTAGGTCCAGAAGTCCCTCGACTACAATTCCCAAATTCCGAATCACTGGCTTATAAGTGTGATATTTGGAGGATACTATGCTCCTAATTCTGTGCCACACAGCTAAAATTAACTTGTAAATTCCTTGGGGCAGGGAATAGCATTTTGCCTACATAAATTTTCAGTTCTCTATGCAATTTGTATACGATGGCACAACAAAGATAAATGAAAAATTAGTTTCAGGCATGCCATAATAAAGTATATTTATGTATTTGTGGGTGGGTAATGCCTTCACATCAGTTCTGACCCTTGCCACCATATTTATGACCTTGCAGGTTTTTCCCCCTACACTTTCAGAGTGGTTGGCCATTGCTTCCTTTCTAGGAGTGAGAGAGAGGGATTGAGTGACCCAGTTGATTTCCATGCCTAAGGTAACACTAGAATTTGGGTTTCTATACTTCTAGTCCAGTGCATTATTGTTAGATTTAGACAGCCAGTGCATCATAGCGGTAAAGAATTTGAACCTGAACTTGGGGAACAAGGTTTAAGACTACCCTCAGCTATGGAAGCAAACTGGACAACTTTGGGTATTACTGTTACTACTTTTATTTCTAACAATTATGTACAGTATTTCAAAATGAGAATGTAGAGGTACAATTTTTCTACTGCCTGCTTTCTGAACCAAGAGAAAAGAATTACCAAATGTTCAGACAAAACCCCTTTTGTGTCCAAGCTGTAGGCAAGAACAGATGAAGGGTATTAGAGTCAAGGAAATAATTTCCACTTAAACAAATAAACATACCAAAAATATCTTTGTTGAATGATGATTATTATTATGGAATTCTGGTCTCTAGGGTAATTTTTTGGGTGCCTATAGCAACTAGTCACCCAGCTGAGGTGCTTCAAGACTGATAATGCAAGAGAGAATGTACATGATAAGGACAGGTATGAGGGTAGGGAAGTGAACTGCATGGTTGAAATTTAAATTAAATGTCAAGCTGGGCACTACGACTGATTCTTATTGTATGAAAACATATGCTTATACTAGTGAAGACAAGATCTGACAATGATAATTGCTTGATTTCACTGCTCAATATCAATTCCAGCAGCTTCCTCTTTGCCCTTTCCCACTTATGGCACCACTGTACATCACATTATTATATAGAAAAATCCAGTAAAAAGATAAGTAGCATTACGGAGTATATAGGATGCAAAATGAGGAGGACGAAGGAAAGGGAAGGAAGGAGAGAGAGAGAGGGCGAAAAAGGAAAAACAAATCAGAATGCATTAAAGCATACTGATTTATTCTTGCCATGGATGGGTGTGCTTACAAGTATAAGTATAATCTTTATTTTCATTGTACTTAAATCCAACGAAATTGGTTACAAATTCACCTTATTACAGTTAATGCATTCATGCTTTTTTTTCAACAATGCACAAAACTATGTGGGATATATTGCTCCATGGTACAACTCAAGTAACCCAAACTGTTGATCATAGATGATGAATGGAGACTGATGTGTTGCAAACAATTTCTGCAAATTATCTAATTTGCAGAAATGGCTAGAACTGGAAATATAATGGACAGCAGCCATTCCGCCACATTTTATCATAAGATATGCCATCTCTTCAAGAATTAGAGGCATTCTTTATAAAATCAGGGATACAACATATTTTTATGGAGACTCCATCCAAATAATTTTATGGCGGGAAACAGGGATGCCCACAATGTATGTCTGTCACGGGCAGAATTAAAAACGCCAAGGTGATAGCTGCCACTATCAGATTGAAGCCTTCCCCCCCATTTTTATTTGTCCCATGCAACATAAAAAAGGCAGAGGCTTCAATTGCATAGTTACAGGTGTCATTTTGTCTTTTTTAAACCTGACCCTTCCATGGCTGGCACTGTTAGGTAATAATCCAACTTTCCAGTTCACACTATCTAAAGCAGTCTTCCCAAAGCAATTTAGATATTTTACACTTCAACTTTCATAAAGAATTGAAAGCTATCATGTCCCCAGCAGGCTTCAAAACTTGTTACTTAAACAAACAAACAAACAAACAAACAAATCCAGAACCCTCTGAACCAAAGCTCTAATAATGGGAAATTGGCTGTAGTGGATCTCTTCCCACCCCTTATTCTCCCATGGAATCCCATCAAGATCTCATGGAATCCTTAAGTTTTACAGAACATAGTTTGAAAAAGTCTGACCTAAAGGATGCCATATTTGGGGTATTTGATTTAAAACTATTTGCTGCAGGAGTTTAGAATGTGTGGCCAGGAAAGAAGGAATGTTCATACTGTTAACCTAAGTAATG